AATTTTTTAATGAGCTTCCATTTTAGGGATAAACTTACATTCTGTAATGAATGGAATGAAAGTGAAAAGACCTATTATTTTGCAGCATCCAGTTGTTTGCCAAATATTCAAGATAATCAGATACAGTGAGAACTTATTTGATGAATTTTGTGTTATAAAATATTTGTCTAAGGGAGGAGGGGCAAGATGGCGGAAGAGTAGGGTCCCCAAGTCACCTGTCCCCACCAACTTATCTAGATAACTTTCAAATCATCCTGAAAACCTACGAATTCAGCCTGAGATTCAAAGAGAGAACAGCCTGAAATGCTAAGGGGAGGGGCCCCCCCCGCAAGGAACCGGGCAAAGACCTTGCAGCGAGTATCCCCAAGACAGGAAAGCCCAGTCCCGAGAAGCAGGAGCTTCACCAATCTTCCCGGAGGGAAAGGTGCTAGCAGGGAGCTCGGGCAGGATCCCAGGAGGGGAGGGGGTGCCCTCAGGCTCCCGGGGGACTGACAGAGCAACTGCACTCTGGGGGAGAGCCCTCCACACACTGTGGACCGAGCTCCCTAAAGGGCTGCACCGTGCACCCAGCGGGGCCCCGGGAGCAGCTCGGGTGGCGGCTCCACGCGGAGGGGGATGCGCAGCCCAGGAGGGTGATTCTAGCAGTGCAGGCCCAGAGCCCAGGGCGCCGGGGACACAGCCCAGGATCCAGCGCTCCTCCCGGGACAGGCGGAGGCAGGGAGGACTCAGGGCAGCAAGGACGTTCCTGCCGCCAGGGGGCCCGAGCTGTGCTGATCCGCGCTCCCAGCCCCCGAGCATCCAGGCCCCTCCGGACTGGAAGCTGCGGTAGTTACTGCGGGAGCTGACACTGCCACTGTTGTTGTTCCTCCTGCTGTCACCTTGTACCTGGGATTGAGCAGGGGCCTCACAGGATAAACAGCTCGCACTGAACCCTGCACCAGTCAGAGGGCAAGGGAGCTCCCCCAGGTGCACACACCTGAGAATCAGCACAGTAGGCCCCTCCCCCAGAAGACCAGCTAGAAGGACAGGGGAAAAGCAAGTTATTGACCAAAGAGCACTGGAAAGTTCCAGGGGAAGCCCAGGTATTTACAGTATGTAGAATCAGAGGATACTCTCCCCTTGTTTTTTGCTTTCTGTTTGCTTCCGCTTCCCCTTTTTTTCTCTTTTTTTTTCTTTTTCTTTTCTTTTGCTCTTCTTTTTCTCCTTTTCCCAGTAAACTTGTTTTTGGCCACTCTGCACTGAGCAAAATGACTAGAAGGAAAAACTCACCTCAAAAGAAAGAATCAGAAACAGTCCTCTCTCCCACAGAGTTACAAAATTTGGATTACAATTCAATGTCAGAAACCCAATTCAGAAGCACTATTAGAAAGCTACTGGTGGCTCTAGAAAAAAGCATAAAGGACTCAAGAGACTTCATGACTGCAGAATTTAGATCTAATCAGGCATAAATTAAAAATATTTGTCTAAGAATGATAATCTCGGGCAGCCCAGGTTGCTCAGTGGTTTAGCACCGCCTTCAGGCAGGGCGTGTTCCTGGAGACGGGGATCCAGTCCCACCTCAGGCTCCCTGCATGGAGCCTGCTTCTTCCTCTGCCTGTGTCTCTCCCTCTCTCTCTCTCTCTCTGTATCTCTCATGAATAAATAAATAAAATCTTAAGAAAAAATAAGAATGATAATCCCAATGAAATAAAAAGGGATAGTAATGATTAACATATATTGACTGAAATGCTTAAATCCATACACAGAAGCATAATTAATAATCTCCCATAGTATAATATTCCTGAGCTTAACAGGAATCTCACCATATGTAGAAAGACTGTTTTTCAATAATATATGGGCTATAGAGAAGAGTCTATTGAAGGCGTCAACAAATTAATTAATGATAAAATGCCAACTTGAAGAATATTACAACTTTATCCACTAACTAAAAATAGCAAGAACATATTTCTAATCTCCAGAAGGAGAGGGTAGAGACAATATGGAGAAAAACATTTGAAGAAATAAAGGCTAAAATATTTCCAAATATAATGGAAAATATCAAGCAACAGGTCCTAAAAGCTTAAGATACCCAAGAAAGTTGAATAGAGATACTAGCCAATAGGATCCAACAGAATATTAAGAAGATTATTCATCATGACCAAGTGGGATTTATCCCTGGGATGTAAGGCTGGTTCAATACTCATAAAACAATCAACATGATAGATCACATCAATAAGAGAAAAAACAAGAACCATACGATCCTCTCAATAGTTGCAGGGAAAGTATTTGACAAAATACAGCATCCACTCCTGATCAAAACTCTTCAGAGTGTAGGGATAGAGGGAACATTCCTCAGTATCTTAAAAGCCATCTACAAAAAGCCCACAGCAAATATCATTCTCAATGGGGAAGCACTGGGAGCCTTTGCCCTAAGATCAGGAACACGACAGGGATGTCCACTCTCACCACTGCTCTTCAACATAGTACTAGAAGTCCTAGCCTTAGCAATCAGGCAACAAAAAATAAATAAAAGGCATTCAAATTGGCAAAGAAGAAGTCAAACTCTCCCTCTTTGCAGATGACATGATACTGTACTTAGAAAATCCCAAACTCTCCACCCCAAGATTGCTAGAACTCACACAGCAGTTCAGCAATGTGGCAGGATGCAAAATCAATGCCCAAAAATCAGTGGCATTTCTATACACTAACAAGGAGACTGAAGAAAGAGAAATTAAGGAGCCAGTCCCATTTACAATTGCACACAAAAGCATAAGATACCTAGGAATAAACCTAACCAAAGAGGTAAAGGATATATATCCTCAAAACTATAGAACACTTCTGAAAGAAATTGAGGAAGCCACAAAGAGATGGAAAAATATTCCATGCTCATGATTGGAAGAATTAATATTGTGAAAATGTCTAAGCTAACCCAGGGCAATTTACACATTGAATGCAAGCCCTATACAAATACCACAGACTTTCTTCAGAGATTTGGGACAAATCATCTGAAGATTTGTGTGGAATCAGAAAAGACCCTGAATAGCCAGGGGAATTTTAAAAAAGGAAACCAGAGCCGGGGGCACTACAATATCGGATTTCAGGTTGTACTACAAAGCGGTGGTCATCAAGATAGTGTGGTACTGGTATAAAAACAGACACATAGATCAATGGAATGGAATAGAGAACCCAGAAATAGGCCCTCAACCCTATGGTCAACTAATATTCGACAAAGCAGGAAAGACTATCCGCGGGAAAAAGGACAGTCTCTTCAGTAAATGGTGCTGGAAAAACTGGACGGCCACATACAGAAGAATGAAACTAGATCATTCTCTTATACCATATACAAAGATAAACTCAAAATGGATGAGAGATCTAAATGTGAGACAGGAATCCATCAAAATCCTAGAGGAGAACACAGGCAACACCCTTTTTGAACTTGGCCACAGCAACTTCTTGCAAGATGCATCTATGAAGGCAAGGGAAACAAAAGCAAAAATGAACTATTGGGACTTCATCAAGATAAAAAGCTTCTGCACAGCAAAAGAAAGAGTCAACAAAACTAAAATACAAAACTACAGAATGGGAGAAGATATTTGCAAATGACCTACCAGATAAAGGGCTAGTATCCAAGATGTGTAAAGAACTTATTAAACCCAACACCCAAGACACAAACAATCCAATCATGAAATGGGCAAATGGCATGTATAGAAATCTCACAGAGGAAGACATAGACATGGCCAACAAGCACATGAGAAAATGCTCCGCATCACTGGCCATCAGGCAAATACAAATCAAAACCACAATGAGATACCACCTCACACCAGTGAGAATGGGGAAAATTAACAAGGCAGGAAACAACAAATGTTGGAGAGGATGCAGAGAAAAGGGAACCCTCTTGCACTGTTGGTGGGAATGTGAACTGGTGCAGCCACTCTGGAAAACTCTGTGGAGGAGGTTCCTCAAAGAGTTAAAAATAGACCTGCCCTAAGACCCAGCAATTGCACTGCTGGGGATTTACCCCAAAGATACAGATGCAGTGAAATGGCAGGACACCTGCACTCCAATATTTATCACAGCAATGTCCACAATAGCCAAACTGTGGAAGGAGCCTCGGTGTCCATCGAAAGATGAATGGATAAAGAAGATGTGGTCTATGTACACAATGGAATATTACTCAGCCATTAGAAATGACAAATACCCACCATTTGCTTCCACGTGGATAGAACTGGAGGGTATTATGCTGAGTGAAGTAAGTCAATCGGAGAAGGACAACATTTTATAGTCTCATTCATTTGGGGAATACAAAAATTAGTGAAAGGGAATAAAAGGGAAAGGAGAGAAAATAAGTGGGAAATATCAGTGAGGATGACAGAACCTGAGAGACTCCTAACTCTTGGAAACGAACAAGGGGTGTTGTTGGAAAGGGAGTTGGGTGGGGGGTTGGGGTGACTGGGTGATGGGCACTGAGGGGGCACTTGACGGGATGAGCACTGGGTGTTTTGCTCTATGTTGGCAAATCGAACTCCAATAAAAAATATACACAAAAAAAAACCTTTAAAAACTTCAATTTATCAAAATACACCATTAAAAATGCATATGAACCTCCAGTCTTGGAGAATAAATAATAAGTTGTACTTTTACATAGTAATGAAATAGGAAGTACAATGAAAATAATATCCCATTTATATTATATATAAAATACTTGAACTCCAGGCAAAAACATCTACCAATGAAACAAAAGGAAAAAATAATTGGAAAGTCATACTTTATGCTTGATTGTACAGACTATAATAAAGATGGCAACACTTCCTAATTTAGTAAAGATATTTTAATGTAAGACTAACTTTTCTCAGGATATTTTAAATAACATTTTAAAATGGGATTTCCAAGCCAAGAAAACATGCCTTTATTTTTTTAGTTTATTGACTATTTCTAATAGTGCATTTTTATCAGATTGGATTGTGGCAATCAGGAATTTTATAATTGGTGTTTGATTTGTTAGTGTATATTCAAACAAACCTTCAAAAAAAGGTTAAGAATACTGGGATAAAAATTAGGCCATGAGCAGCCCCAAATAGCATAACAAGAAACATAATCTTAAAAAATGTCCTGAAGATGTATGCTTTAGCTATAGATAAAACACACACCCCTATTACTGTTGAAAGTGCACTTTGTAACACTGGGTAGCCTAGCAGATACAATGTCTCAATTGTTTTTTGGTTTACTGAGGGCTTAGAACTGGAAACAAATGCATAAGAAATGTGTGCAGAAAAATCGAAAGAAAACCCTATACAAATAGCAAGATTAATCATGGATATGGAATCAAGATTGACATTCCAGAATGCCATGAAACCTGTTACTCCCACAATCACAGAAGCAATAGCAAAAGTCACCTACAACGAACACGGTGGATGAGGAATTAACAAAAAGGAAACAATGAACATAGCAGCTGATGCAACAATGACATTTCGAACAGTGTTTTCTAATATTGCAGTGTACTGATCAAAATATATGAATGCCTGGTTATACACCATTAGTGGAATTTCGCATTTTTCAGCTCTGCTTCGTAATTGGAATAACAAACATCTTCTTTTTATTGGTTGAAGAAGAAACATCCACAGTCTGAATGAAGCCCCGGGAAGAAATGATCTCATTTGATGATGAGATATTAATATCATACATAAAAAGTGGAAAATTTGTTTAAAAAGTAGGCAAACTGTTCATAAATTTATCCTTATCATTTACATTTTGTCTGCTGCTTTCCATATATTGCACATACTCTCATAACCAAAATTCTGTAAGATTTTTATCTACATAGTCACTGTTTTCCAAATCTGCCAGTCATTTTTCCAGCTTTTGCCTAGCATCTTCATCCCAGCAGTCAAAAGTTTCAGTAACAATAACCATAACCCTTGGACCAAACTCTGAAAAATAGTCTTCTTCTACATTAAAATGTGGTGTGTTGTAGGAACCATCACTTGCCAAATTTCAAAGGTCTAAACCTTCCTGTAGTTGGAAACAACCATAAATACTAAATATGATGTACAAAATGTATATATGCGCTACAAAAAATTTGGACTCAGGGGGTGTGAGAAAAGGGCCAAAATAGTCTCGAAAGAACAAATTCATTGGATGGGTATCAGTTTCTTGTTCATGTGGGAGAGAATCACATGGGAGACAGCAGGATCTTAATGAAAAACATTTTTGGTTAGGAGTTTTTGGCTTTTTCAACCAGCGTAGACAGACTATTTCTCTTTTACCATCCAGGGCCATAAATGCTCCAAAACAGGTGATGTTATAAAAATAACAAAAGAGCAAGGTTGTTCCTGTATAGATGCAAAAGTACTGTACAGACCTGAAAGAGGTCATAATCCCTGTATAGAAGGCCAGAACATTGGCAATGGTGGTAAATGTTATAGACACCGCCACCTTGGAATAGACGGTGGAAAGCCTTTGACTCATGCTGTCCTTGGCGCTGGTCTTCTGCCAGGCAGAAATCATTATAAACATATCATCAACTCCAACACCTGTTAAAACAACAACAATCTTTATATGTATTAATATCTGTTAAAAATTAGACACATAAGCTCAAACCTTCCTCTCTGTCCATCTCTTAAGGTCTTATGTATCTTGCCCAGTCTGTGCTTTGGTACTACTTTCTCCATTGCTTTCTCTGATTGCCTCTGAATCCACAACAGAATTCATCCCTTCCTCTGTGATAACTCTGTGCTTTGAACACACTCCCATTATCTGTACATAGCCCGGATACTCTACTCTGAGTCTTCATTTAGGGTGTTTTATTTTAGTTTTTTAAAAAGATTTTATTTTACTGATTTGACAGAGAGAGAGAGAGAGAGAGAGAGAGCCAGCCACAAGCAGCGGGAGCACAAGCAGAGGGAGTGGCAGACAGAGCAAAGCAGGATTAGCAATGGATTTTGATTCCACCTGGATTACTTGAGGGACCATTTTCTCTCATAAACCGTTTTACACAAATGCACAAACACATCAAGCCAACATTCTGTTGCTTGAAATAGAAGCTGGACTCAACTGTTCTACAGTTAGCATCTAACTATCAATATGGAATGATTTGAGAGACGCCACGTAGTTCACACACACACACACACACACACACACACACACACATCATTTTCCCACTAGCCTGTTTTTGATACCCAGAATGTTATCATTCAAACTTACTTTCCCAGGTTAAGGCATTGTTATTAAAATGCAAGTACTCCTGAGATCAGACATATGCACCAAAAGTACATCTTAAGAATCCTTTACGTACTAATGCTTACTAGGTAATTCTTTTCCACAAGGATGTTTCATGACTGGCTTGGAATAGAGGACAGAACATTTGAGGACTTTGAAATCAGCACTGAAAACCAGGAAAGGAAAACCAGAAAGAAGGAAGGGGAAGCAAGGACAGCATGAGATGTCACAGATAAATTTCACCTCCTCAAGCTTTCTACTGGAGTTGACACTACTTTCACTCATGTATATTGATACAAACTCAATAAAATAGACAAGTAAATATATAAAGTGCAGTAAAATGCTGATCTTAATTTCAGTTTGGGGGGATCTTCTCTCCATGGGAGGGTACTAGGAATTGCAACTTTGCCTTTGATCAGATGTTCTATAGGTATGATCAAGAAAGTAGAAGGATCTAAATTAACACAAGTCTATATAGTCTGTCATAAACTGCATCCTGACATTCCACAGCTACTGGCTTTGAGGATTTCATTTGTACTTAGCTGGACCAAAGGGAAAAATCAGAAGTACTAAGAACCAAGAATGAACTCATGGTATTTACTAGGTATTTAAAAATTAGTTTTATTATAGAACCATATTCAGAAATTGTCCTCGCACATTCCTTGCTTGAGTTGCTTAAATCACACACACACACACACACACACACACAGAGGCATTCACACTCCTATGAATACACAGACTATAGGATACTGGTTTACATTAAATCAATTATATACACTTTAACAATAGTTTTTAATGGCTGTGGGGAATAGTGAGTGACCAAAAAATCCCCCAAAATCATATTTTGGATATTTGGTGTGTGTGTGTGTGTGTGAACAGCCTGTTCATGTCCCTTGTCTGTATATTCCCATTTGGGGTACTAGATTTTGCCACCTCTAAAGACACATAATTCAATTTGATTTTCTTCTTTCCTGTCACCTCATTTTGGATCCATAGAGCCACCTAAATGTAATTATTTTGCTTAATCTAACATTAACTCCTTCCCTTATCTACCCCACACCCTCACATACACAATGTGTAGCGTCATGTTTTGTTTTACTCACCTAGAATAAGAAATGGTGAATTTGCAACTATGGTCACAAATGGCACCCCAATATACAACATCAGGCCAAAGCCACTCACCACTGCCAAAGCAACAGAAGTCACCCCAAAGGCTGCAGCCCATATTTTGTTTTGTACACAGTCATACCTGTAAATTTGGAGGGAAAAATCATGGGATTTGTGGTGGTAGCTTCCATACTGAAATTCCATCAGTTTATAACATTCTCGACTTGGACACCTCTTCATAAAGCCCTTGGGCAATAATTCTCATAATTGTCTAATGGAGACGTTTAATTCCTGGGCGCTATCCCAGACCACGTGGGAAAAAGCAGAGAGGGAACAGAAAGGTTGTCTATACTTTTACCAAACTTCCTGGGTGATTCTTCTGCGACTGAACAAGCACTACTCCACTGACTGGCAGTGCAGAACCACAAAGATATATGAAATCACTTCAGATGGTTAATTCCTCACTGCTCTTCAAAAGGTGTAAATGGAACACAACAACAAAGAGAGGACAAGCCAAAGCAGAGAGGGTACCCCAAACCACATTACATATTAAAATATTGACAACAATCTCTGCTTTTATATTTCACTTGTTTCTTAACTGCTTTAAAACAAATCACTGATCCTTGTCTCTAGACATTGTTAGGAAGAGAGAGAAACTAAGTTTGGATTGAAAACTAGGAGAGTCAACTATGGAAATGGAAGCACTGATTCTAATACAGCAAGAACATGACCAAAGACCTTTTACTATAGTAACAGTAAAATAATGAAACTTTCTTATTATGGAAAGATTTTCTACACCATAATCATGGTTCACCTTTTTTCAACACACTAGTGCTAGGAGTTAAATTCAGGGCCCCAAATCAACCATACACACAAAATTCCAGCAAAAGTAAATTGCTTTTGGGGTGCCTGAGTGGCTCAGTCAGTTGGGTGTCTACCTGAATTCAGTTCAGGTCATGATCTTGGGGTCCTGGGATTGAGCCCCACACTGGGCTCCCTGCTTTGTGGGGAACTTCCTTCTCCCTTTGACCCTACTCCCTGCTTTGCTCTCTGTCAAATAAATAAAATCTTCAAAAAGTAAATTGCTTTGTTAGAATAAAATTTGATAATGAATACTTTTAAAAAAATACTGTTTATAGCAGTTTAAAATATGAAATAACAAAGATGAACTTCGAAATCAGAAAGATTAATGAGGATAAATGTTACAAATAACACATTTATTTCCATTCCCTCTTTCAAGTTTCTGGGTTTTTTGGTGTAAATTTTTCAGATAGGGAAGTATGACTTTACTTTGATTAGTTGCTGAGTTGACTTTCTCTGTGACCTTTTATTTTAATGTTCAATAGACATGGAAGAAAAGATTTGGAAGTGGAACACTGTATTCCAGTCCCCAAGAAGGATTTTGTTTTAAGCAGTTTATCAAAATTACTTGGAAGAGTTTTAGAACTTTAGAATTCCTGGAATCCAGCCATACAGATCCTGATTCAGTAGGTTTATAGTGAAGCTGCAGAATCTATATGTCTAAAACTTTCCTCATATGATTCCAGTGCTCAGGCCAATTTGGGGATTACTGGCAGCAAAATGGCCAATCTTCTGAAATTTTTATTCATTTAGCAGGGAAGGGGTAAATTAGAAATTATTGCTCTTAGAAAACAACCTGTATGTTTGGTGAGAGATCTACATCTTCCTTGAAAGGTAATGATGTCTCCCATGAGTAAACAATAGTTTACAGTGTATTTGAGAAGAGAAAGATTTTCCAGATTGTTTCAGAAATATTTGATAGAAGTTTTGTCATTTCCAAAATGCTAGACAATTTTGAAACAGTCTAGAAGCTCAATAGACCACTACTTATTATAGAATGAGGTTCACATTAGAGCATAAATTTGATAAAGTCTTACTATTGTTCATATAACTTCATTATGAAGAAAATAAGTATAAACCCTAAAAATGGGCAGCCCCGGTGGATCAGTGGTGTAGTGCCACCTTCGGCCCAGAGCCTGATCCTGGAGACCCAGGATCGAGTCCCACATCAGGCTCCCTGCATGGGCCCTGCTTCTCCCTCTGCCTGTGTCTCTGCCTCTCTCTCTCTCTGTGTGTGTGTGTGTGTGTGTGTGTGTGTCTGTCATGAATAAATAAAATCTTAAAAAAAAAACCCTAAAATGTGTTCAAATAAAGGCTCTATGGGAGGCAAATGAGTGTATGCAAGGAATAACCTTCATATACAGGTATATGAGACAAGCAGAACGGCCAGTGTCTTTGGGACTGTCTAGGACGTCCTGCCCAGAACATAGACAAGAGATTTTCAGTGATAACAGAGAGGTAGGTAGGAGTGCGAGATGTCCAAGAAATTTAACACACTCACAGAAGAATCAGTTTTATTTTTGAGCCCAGAGAAGGCACATATTGAACCATCATGGCAGCATCTGTGCCTTAAGAAATTTCCTGCTCCCTTTCCTCTTCTCCTTGGGCATGCTCCAATCCAGAAGTCAGCTTAGCAAGACAGGAAGTAGGAAGAGAAATGATAGAAGAGGGCTGGGGAGTCCCTTTTTTTCTCCATGAAGGACTATCCTAAGCAGCATGCTCCAGCTAAGAGTGCTGGGGTGGGGGTAGGTGGGGGGGGGAATCCTTAGCTTCAAATCAAGTTATCACTTTTGTTTATTACATGGACATGGATATGGACATTTTAATTCTGACTGGAGGATTTAGTCTTACCTAAGAATGATCACAAAAGTCACAGGGCCTACCTGAGTTTTCATGGGGCAGAGGAAGAGCTTGCTTTACCTACAAGACTCAACGGGAACAAAGGGAGACAAAAATAAAGTTGCTTTATGCTTATACTTCATGAGTTCTAGTGTCCAGTATGTTGGTTAGATAAACATAAAGCCTTCAAAGAGAAAGAAATATAAATCATTTTATAATTGCTTTTGGTACAAGATTTTCTGTATTACTGTCCATAATCATGTGTAAAGATAAGAAGGAATTGATAGAAATTTGTATCTTCAGAACCAACTAGCTAGTAGAAAAATTTTTGACAAACCAGTTGTTGGTGCCTTATAGATTCCATGCTAGGTTAACTTTATGTTTTGCTCTACTGACTTTAACAAGATTTTTGTCTTTTCCCCTCCCCATAGTTCTTTCCTCCTTCCCTCCTACCCTTACTTCTAGTTTTTTAGTTTGTTTGTTTTCTACAGGATGTGGGCTTTTGTTCCAGAAAAACAAAGTTGTGAGGTAGTTGACTCTAAAGAGGTACCCATTGTGTTTAACTCCCTTCACCTACCTAAACCTCATTTGTCTCTTAAAATCTAGAGTTGAATGACATCATTTGTTCCAAACCAACCTACACATGATAATGAACTAGAGAAGTTTTTGAAATGTTAATTTTCAAATTAAACCCCCAGAGACTTGATTCAATAGGTCAGGGCCTTGGAATATATGGGTTTATTTTTTTTTTATTTTATAAATTAATTTTTATTGGTGTTCAATTTACCAACATACAGAATAACACCCAGTGCTCATCCCGTCAAGTGTACCCCTCAGTGCCGTCACCCATTCACCCCCACCCCCCGCCCTCCTCCCCCTCCACCACCCCTAGTTCTTTTCCCAGAGTTAGAAGTCTTTATGTTCTGTCTCCCTTTCTGATATTTCTCACACATTTCTTCTCCCTTCCCTTATATTCCCTTTCACTATTATTCATATTCCCCAAATGAATGAGAACATACACTGTTTGTCCTTCTCCGGTTACTATGGCCAAGTTCAAAAAGGGTGTTGCCTGAGTTCTCCTCTGGGATTTTGATGGAATCTTGTCTCACATTTAGATCTTTCATCTATTTTGAGTTTATCTTTGTGTATGGTGCAAGAGAGTGGTCCAGTTTCATTCTTCTGCATGTGGATGTCCAATTTTCCCAGCACCATTTATTGAAGAGAGTGTCTTTCTTCCAGTGGATCATCTTTCCTCCTTTATCGTATATTAGTTGACCATAAAGTTCAGGGTCCACTTCTGGGTTCTCTATTCTGTTCCATTGATCTATGTGTCTGTTTTTGTGCCAGTACCACACTGTCTTGATGAACACAGCTTTGTAGTACAACCTGAAATCTGGCATTGTGATGCCCCCAGATATGGTTTTCTTTTTTTAAAATTCCCCTGGCTGTTTGGGGTCTTTTCTGATTCCACACAAATCTTAAAATAATTTGTCCTAAGTCTCTGAAGAAAGTCCATGGTATTTTGATAGGGATTGCATTATACGTGTAAATTGCCCTGGGTAACATTGACATTTTCACAATATTAATTCTGCCAATCCATGAGCATGGAATATTTTTCCATCTCTTTGTGTCTTCCTCAATTTCTTTCAGAAGTGTTCTATAGTTTTTAGGGCATATTTTGAGAACCATTTGAATGGTAAATGGTTCTCCAACCTTTTATTTTCAGGTTGTAGGTGTCCTTCTGTCTAAAATGAGTCTCTTGTAGACAGCAAAAAGATGGGTCCTGTTTTTTTATCCAGTCTGAAACTCTGCGCCTTTTGATGGGGTCATTAAGCCCATTCACGTTCAGAGTTACTTGAACTTCTTCTTAAAGGGGAGTTTTAAGAGTCCCCCTTAAAATTTCTTAAAGAGCTGGTTTGGAGGTCACATATTCTTTCAGTTCCTGCCTGTCTTGGAAGCTCTTTATCTCTCCTTCCATTTTGAATGAGAGCCTTGCTGGATAAAGTATTCTTGGTTGCATGTTCTTCTCATTTAGGACCCTGAATATATCCTGCCAGCCCTTTCTGGCCTGCCAGGTCTCTGTGGAGAGGTCTGCTGTTACCCTAATATTCCTCCCCATGAAAGTCAGGGACTTCTTGTCTCTTGCTGCTTTAAGGATCTTCTCTTTATCTTTGGAATTTGCAAGCTTCACTATTAGATGTCGAGGTGTTGAACGGTTTTTATTGATTTTAGGGGGGGATCTCTCTATTTCCTGGATCTGAATGCCTGTTTCCCTTCCCAGATTGGGAAAGTTTTCAGCTAGGATTTGTTCAAATACATATTCTGGCCCTCTGGCCCTTTCGGCGCCCTCGGGAACCCCAATTAAGCGTAGGTTTTTCTTCCTTAGATTGTCATTTATTTGCCTTAATCTGTCTTCATGGTCCCTTAATTGATTGTCTCTTTTTTCCTCAGTTTCCCTCTTTGCCATTAACTTGTCTTCTATGTCACTCACTCGTTCTTCCACCTCGTTAACCCTCGTCGTTAGGACTTCTAGTTTGGATTGCATCTCATTCGATTGATTTTTAATTTCTGCCTGATTGGATCTAAATTCTGCAGTCATGAAGTCTCGTGAGTCCTTAATGCTTTTTTCTAGAGCCACCAGTAGCTGTAGAATAGTGCTTCTGAATTGGCTTTCTGACATTGAAGTGTAATCCAGATTTTGTAACTCTGTGGGAGAGAGGGCTGTTTCTGATTCTTTCTTTTGAGGTGAGGTTTTCCTTCTAGTCATTTTGCTCAGTGCAGAGTGGCCAAAAACAAGTTGTATTGGAACACGGGGGAGTATCACTGGTCCGTCCAGCTGGTCTTCTGGGGGAGGGGCCTGCTGTGCTGATTTTCAGGTGTTAGCACTTGGGGGAGCTGCTCTGCCCCTGCCTGCTGCCGGGCTCAGCGGGGGTTGTTTACCCCGTGGGGCCCCAGGAGGATCCGCAGCAGTTGCTATGGCAACTCTGGAAGCCTGGATTCAGCACTCCGCATTTGACAAGATCCAATACCCATATGATGAAAACACTAAAAAAACAAGGAATAGAAGGTAACTTCCTCAAAATGATAGGGGCATTTATGAAAACTGCATGGCTAATGTTATACTCAATAGTGAAAGACATAGATTTCCCTCTAAAATTGGGAACAAGATAAAGATGCCCACCTTCACCAATGGCATTCAACACTGAAGTAGAAGTGCTAGCCAGATAAATTAGATAAGAAATAGAAATAAAAGGAATTCTATTCCTTTTTACAGATTACATGATTCTATCCATGAATGTTCCAAAGAATCCACAACAAAACTATAGAGTTAATAAACAAATTGAGCAAAGCTGCTCAAGATCAACACAGAAAAATCAGTTGTGTTTCTATGTGCAATAAACAATTAAAAAATGAAAGAAAGCAATTCCACTTAAATAGTGTCTAAAAGAATAAAATACTTAGAAATAAATTTAATAAATCAAAGAGGTGAAAGACTTAAAAAAAAAGGTTTATTTCTCTATTTGAGAGAGAGAGAGAAGAGAGCATAGGGGGTGGGGAGAGAGAGAGGGAGAGAGAGAATCTTAAGTGGCATGCCTAGCACTGAGCCCAATTTGGTGCTTGATCTACGACCCTGAGAATGACTGTGACCTGAGCTGAAACTAAGTGCTGGACACTCAACCAACTGATCCACCCAGGCACCCCTACAAATCATATATTTGATAAGGGTTTAATTTCCAAAACACACAAACTACTCATCAATAACAGGACTCAACAACAAAATGACAAACAACCCAATTAAAAATGGGCAAAGGACTTACGTAGACTTCTCTCCAAAGAAGACGGGCAAATGGCCAATAAGCACAGGAAGACCCTCAACATTATTAGTTGAGTACTTTGCCACTATTTTGCCATTGCTAAGATGGCTTTAATCAATAAAACAAAAAGTAACAAGTGTTGGTGAGGATGTGGAGAAACTGGAACCCTTATATATTGCTTGGTAAGATATAAAATGAGGTAGCCTTCATGGAAAGCAGTGTGGCGGTTCTTCAAAGAACTAAAAACAGAATTATCATATAACTCACCAATTCAACTCCTATGCATATATTAAAAATAATTGAAAATAGGAGCTCAAACAAATATTTGTACACCAGTATTCATTACAACATTATTCACAATAGCCAACAGGAGGAAATATTCCAAGTGCCCATCAACAGATAAGTGGATAAACAGTGCTGTATGTATATATATGTATATATATATATGATGAATTATTAGTCATAAAAAGGAATGTTTTTATACATGCTACATCATAGTTGAATCTTGAAAACATTAGGCTAAGTGAAATAAGCCAGTCACTAAAGAACAAATATTGTATGATTCCATTTATAGAAATCTCTAGAATAGGCAAATTCATAGGGATAAAAGGTAGAGAAAGGTTAACTGGGACTGGGAGGTGGATGCCATGGAGGGTTACTGCCTAATGCTTATACAAATTCTGTTTGGGATGATGGAAAATATTTAGAAACAGATAGTTGTGATGGCTGCACAACAGCGTTAATGTAATTGATACCACTGAATTGTACACTTAAAAATTATTGAAATGACATATTCTATATCTTTTTTATGTATTTCCCCACACACAAAGATTTTTTAAAAAGTTAAAAACCAATAATAAAACCGTTTTACCTGTAGCATGATGTGATTGCAAATAATATGATTAGAAGGTATGCCACATGAAACAAGGGGATCACTGTCATAGAGGTTGCTTCAAACTCCAGTTGTCTAGAAAGTGATGTAAAGTAGACCATCAGGATACCTGCGTGGCTCAGCGGTTTAGCACCTGCCTTCGGCCCAGGGCATGATCCTGGAGACCCCGGATCGAGTCCCACATCAGGCTCCCTACATGGAGCCTGCTTCTCCCTCTGCCTCTGTCTCTGCCTCTGTCTCTGTGTCTCTCATGAATAAATAAAATCTTTAAAAAAAATAAAGTAGACCATCTGCCAAAAAAATATACTCCAATAAATAACTTTTAATTCCAGTATGTGTGTGTGAGTTACAAACACTATTGAAATGCTATCGCTTATTGATTGAAATGTTAAAATTTAGTAAAAGATCAAAGTAAGTGAATTATGACTTTAGAATAAAGAAGACAATATGGATTTGCTTCTTCCCACAAATCTGGCCTGCTTCCCAGTTTCTTGCAAAAACCCAAAGTTGGAAACTCCTGAGTTCTCAGTTCCTCAGAACTCAAAACCTGAGTTATCTAAATAAGACTATGAATCATTAATAACTACAGAAATTGTCACTTTTTCTAAGTTTTTATTAGGCTGTTGTCTATTTAATTGCATTGACATTTCAGAAACATATGGTATTCAAGGGCTTTTTAAACTGCATTGATATTTCAGAAAGATCTGGTGTTCAAGGGCTTTTTTTCTAGTAGTTGTCTCACTTTGACCAGGCTTACTCACAAGTATTAGCGGGCTTGCAGGCCCAACAATTACAGAGTAGCTAGCATGTGCCTGGCACTATGCTATAACTTACTTGGAAAATGCTGAGCTAGTTATCTTTTCAAAGACACCATGGAGCTTCTGCTTAAAGGTTTGTTTCTGCATTTAAAAAAATTTGTTGATTGATTTATTCATGAGAGACACAGGGAGAGAGGCAGAGACATAGGCAGAGGGAGAAGCAGGCTCCCTGCGGGGAGCCTGGTGCGGACTCCATCCAGGGACCCTGGGATCATGATCTGAGCCAAAGGCAGATGCTCAACCACTGAGCCACTCAGGTGTCTATGTTTTTGCACCTTAGTGAACTTCAAACTAGTTTTAGGAGGCTCCCCCAAACAGCAAAGACTTTAACAAAGAGTAGGAATTTCAACATAATTTGACTAGAAAACCTGATAGTCGATGCCTGTACCGAACACACCGGCCTTGAGGATGTGGGATTTGTGTTTTCCACCAGATTATTACTAAGGAGTTAAGATTTGTGGCACCCTTTGATGTGTGAGATTAAGGAAATCGGATTAAGTACCGAATGGAGTAGAGCACTCCGTGCTTCAGGTCAAGGGCTCCACCGAATTATCAGGAAGTGCCACTGCTATGGTCCTCAGAAAAAGTGTCATTATCCCTCCCACGTTTCCCTGGCCTCCCTATAAAACCCAGCCACCAGGTACCTGGATCTTCTTCGAGGCCAAACTCTTTTCAATGTTGGTAGATTGGTTCAGGAAACGGATCAACCACATCTGGCTAAGCTCATTGTCCTTCACGTCCTCAGTTTTCAGGTAGTACAGTAGCCGCATGGCTTTGGCTTTCACGAGTGATTGATTGGTTGCTTCCCGTCCTCTTGCCTAAAAAGGTTCCTCCAATGGTGCCGGCCAGGTAGATGGGCTGACCCGATAGGTCGAAGAGCGGGAAAGTGATGTTCGTCGGGTCGAGGTCCTTGTGCATGCGCCAGGCGGACAGGAGGGGGGTGGAGGGCAGGCAGGCGCCCTGGTATTTAGCGCACACCCCATCGTAGCCAATCTGGGTCCCCTTTTCCTTGGCCACATACAGATCCTGCACCACAGTGTCCAATGTACTAATTTCTTCTAAGATTTCCTGTTGCAGCAGCGAGGCAGAGCCGGAAACCACTAGGGTGGAGACAGAGTTGACCCCGGTGCTCTTCCTGGAGTTGGAGAATCCGTAAGAGTCGTTGGTGGTGAAATGCCCCTGCACAAAGCGCCCTCGGCCTTGGCCGGGCTCCCCATGGGGGTGTACTGCTCGTCGAGGTTTTCTTCGGTATCGCTGGGCAAGTAACCACGCCTGTGCCCGAGCGGCCTGAGCAGCATGGGCACCAGCAGGCAGGTCCGGGGCTGCGAGCCCACCTGCGTCCCCAGCCTTCCCCAGGCGCGGCTGAGGGGCGCCTCCAGGCAGTCGGCGTGGCGTGCCGGGGGCCCGCTGTCGGGGAGGCCGGCGGACTTGGCCGCTCCGCACTGTCCCCGACCGCGGAGGAGACGCCTCCAGGGGCCCTGTGCGCTGTCCCGAGGCCCAGTCAAGCTTGGGTCCTGTCCCTGACTTGGCTTGGAGGCGGGCAGCGGCTCGACCCGGACCCGCGCCCACGTCCCGCGGCGGCCAGGTGTGGCCCGGGATGGGCTGCGGCTCCCGCTGCTCTGCCCTGGCCGCGGGCTCCCCCTTCACCTCCATCTCCCGCCAGGCGTCGGGCGCAACCTCGGAGAGAAGGAGGCTCATTTCCGGGAGGGAGAGGCAAGGTGTTCAAACCGGGCCGCAGGTGGGCAAGAGCCACCGGCCGAGCGCCCAACTCCTCCTCCCGCGCGTTGGCTGGAGACGGCCCAGGCTGCGGCTGCTCGCGCGAGGCCAGGGGGCCGCTGGGGAGCGGGCGATTGGACCCACGGCCCGAGCAGCCCAACTTGTCTGTGGCGCGCCTTTCCGCTCCGAAGTTTAGTTACAAACAGAAACACTTCTTTTTTTTTTTTAAGATTTTATTTATTTATTCATGAGAGAGAGAGAGAGAGAGAGAGAGAGGCAGAGACACAGGCACAGACAGAAGCAGGCTCCATGCAGGGAGCCCGACGTGGGACTCGATCCCGGGACTCCAGGATCGCGCCCTGGGACAGAGGCGGGCGCTGAACCGCTGCGCCACCCGGGGATCCCCAGAAACACTTCTTAATGCTGCGTGAGGCGCGTGCCCGTTCTACAAGACTCACATATTTTATTGGGGGAATTTGACTTGTCACCCCACCCCTCACCCCCCGCCCCCGACACACACATGCTAGTCTTTCCGGAGACCACCCAGTAACACACTTCTTGGGTAAGGTGAACCAGGTACACTTTATTATATTTTATTAACTACAAACGTAGCAGACACATTCTCCTTGTAGAAAGTCAGAAGTAAGTGTGTAGAATGAAAAGTGAGGATAAGTTTATCTTTGGTCTGTTCCACAGCTCCCAGGATGGAGGGACCCCTGGGTTCATGTCACCATTTTAATGGAAATCCTCGCCTACCTTTAAACATGCAGGTAACTGAAAGGCAGGTGGAGAGAGGTTCCCAGAGCTATGAAAATTGTTTTGCCATGTTTGCCATGGTTGGCAGTTCCTCAGCATGAATGGTGATGGTGTTTTTATGTGGGTAGATAGAGAATGTTAATGAAATCTCCAGACTGCAAGAGTATACCAAGTCCAAGAGTATAAGGGAGGTATCTTCAACAGCATTTTAGAGGAGAAACAAATAGGTGATTTCCTTAAGTTGGCTTTCCAGAAAGTCATTGTTTAAGAGTGGCCTTAATAACCACAAGGTGGCACCTGTTGTCTGTTTTAAAAGTCATGGTCAGTGGGCCTGAGGATTCCTTTTCTCCTTTATCTGCATGTTGCAAGTCCTAGTTACGTGCCGCGTTTATTGTTGGTGTGCTATAAGTCTAGTGGCATCTGTAGCACATTTAAATGGAGGAACTGATTTGGGATTTCCATTTGCCAAACTGTATCTACCTTATAAAGGGAAGGGCTCAGCTGGCCTCCTAAAGATTTTAGGATGAAATGTTAGAGGGAGGGTGATCACAAGTACTCTGTAATGTTCAAAACCAAACACAGGACCTCTTAGTGCCCAGCTTTATGGTATTTCTTTAGCACAGCATCAACGTATTTTTTTTAAATCTCAAAATACAACCACTAAATTTCTACAATTGCTCATAAATCAGCCACTGTGAAGTACTAATTTCTATAGAAAAATATTTGCCTCGGGGTTTGATTTTATCTAGTTTCTTCATTCTAGATGATTGATTCTAGATTATTTTATTTTACTATTCTAGTTATCTAGATTACTAATGTTTGTATGGGTTTAGAATGTCAATCAAAAATACCACTATTAAGTATTTCCCACCAGTTTCCATAAAAGGAACTTGGCATTTTTAATATGAGCTCATCTGCTATTTTTGAGTTGCGAAACCCTTTCATATTTGTTTCAGAACTCCAGACTACTCCATGCAGCTGTAACATGGCCGAGAAGTGACTTGTCTGTCCTAAGTGATATGTCTCTTAAATCCTTTCAATGCAGACAACCCTCTGGCCTTTAATCTGAGAATGGTGTCTACTTTGTCAGGATAGGATTCTCCATACTCTAGAAAATGCCTTCTGGATGAGAAGGGGGTGGTGGGTATTGGGAATTCAAGAATATAGTGTAAAACTTAAAATTTTATCTAGTCTGCTTCTTATCCACCTTCAGTCTAGATAAAATGAATCAGACAAAATGTTACCTTTTCTTCATCTCTCATCACTATATAGATTCCATTTCCTTCTATTCCCCAGCTCTTCTTTGGCAGCCCCCATGACCCATTTTTTTTCTTTTGCCCCCATTTCTTCTTTTCTAAGTCCCATTCTCTCAGGTTAGCCAAAGTCAGTTTGGCATAAATTAAGGGCAATTGCCCATTATTTTAAATGTTTTATTAATTTTTTTGCCCATTTTTATTTACAAGATGTTTCTCTTTTAGCTGTTAGTTACATGATAGTCTGTTTCCAACACTTGACTATGTGCTTCTTAGAGACAAGGACTGCATCTTATTCATCCCTGCATTTGATACTCAGAGGACACTCTAATGTTAGTCATAATTTAGGTGGTCCTGCTTGTCTTTCCCTAGCTCTAGGAATTATATCACTCAAATATGGCAGACATAATGGCTGAAATATATACCATGCATCTTGTAGGGTCTGCTCAGATGCCTGTATTCTGAGACACCAGATACCAACCCGGTAACCATCAGTTTGTTCTTATAGTTAAAAGTCTGTTTCTTGATTACTCTCTCTCTCTCTCTCTCTTTTTTTTATTCCTTTGCTGGTCTGTTTTCTTTCTAAAATTCTACATATAAGTGAAGTCATAGGGTATTTGTCTTTCTCTGACTGACTTATTTTGCTTTGCCTAGGATTGTACTCTCTAGATCCATCCATGTCATTGCAAATGGCAAGATTTCATTCTTTTTACAACTGAATCATATTCCATTATAAATAATATTCCATTATATATAATATTTCATTTCATGTATATATGGACACTTGGTCTGCTTCTGTATTTTCGCTATTGTAAATAATACTGCAATAAGCAAAGGGGTGCATGTATCCGTTTGAATTAGTGCTTTTGTATTTTTTGGGTGAATATTCAGTAGTGTAATTACTAGATCATAGTAATGAATTTGGATGTTTTCCTTCCCTTTCTATTTTTGGGAATAGTTTGAGAAGAATAGGCATTAAGTCTTCCTTAAATGTTTGGTAGAATTTGCCTGTGAAGCTGTCTGGTCCTGGGCTTTTGCTTTTTGGGAGTTCTCTCCTGTGACTTATCTGGGTCTAGTTCCTTTGAGAGATGGAAATTTTTACCAACCAATTAAATTTCTTTGGTAGTATAAGGTGAATCAGGTGTTAAATTTCTTCTTAAGCCAACTTGATAATTTTTCTAAAAATTTGTTTATGTCACTAATTTTTAAATTGCCAGAACATTTTCATGCATTTTTTAAAATTAAAAAAAAACTATTTTTTATCTGTACTTATGACCCCTTTTCCATTCCTATTATTAATTTGTGTTTACTCTCTTTTTTTCCTTAGGAAGGCTTTTAAAGCACTTTTTAAAAAAAATATTTAATATTTTAAGAGAAGCAGGTTTTGATTTTGCAGTTTAACTCTATCTTAAAATTCTTTGATCATTGTTTTTTAAAATTTCTATCTTTGCCTTTATTTCCTTCTTCCAACTTTTTAAATTCTTTTTCTAACTTAAGTTGACTGCTTCCTATTTTATAATAAGTGCATTTAAAACTACGAATTTTCACTTATGTACTGGATTAATGACTGTAGGTTTTGATGGATAGTGTTCTAAACAGAAATTTTCAAGAATTTATTAATTTCCTTAGAATGTACCCTATTTTATGTCATCTTTTTGCCAAGCTTTTATTCCCACTTGCTTTTTCTACTTTTATTCCTGCTTTTATTGTTGGAGTACTACATTTTTTCTTAATTCTCATGGCTTGTTTTAAAAATTACTCTTAAATTTTCTTTCTTTTTTATTTATTTTTTTACTCTTAAATTTTCAACATGTATCTTAGTTTTACATTTCTCCAACAAATTCTTTTCTTTTTTTAAGATTTATATATTTATTTTAGAGAGAGTGAGAGTGAGTGCACATACAGGGGGAGGGGTAGAAGGAGAGGAAGAGGGAGAGAGGCAGACTCCCTGATGAGTGGGGAACCTGACTCGGAGCTCAGTTTCACAAGCCTGAGATGATGACCTGAGTCAAAATCAAGAGTTAGGCTCTTAACCAATAGAGCCACTCAGGCACCCCTTTCCAACAAGTTCTAAGGGTATTAACTATTCTTTTCCAAAAGCAACAAAAATATTTTTAATTTTTTATTTCAATTTGAACTACCCTGCCATCAGCTGAGTATTGTTATCTAGAATTTTCCAATTTTTAAACATCTGTGAAAATTACTATTGTTATTTTTTTCTTTTAAGATGTATTTATTTTTATTTAAGAGAGAGAGAGAGAATGGAGGAAGGGGCAGAGGGAGAAGGAGAGAAAAATCCTCAAGCAGACTACTCACTGAGTGTGGAGCCTGATCCCAGGACCCTGAGATAATGACATGAGCCAAAAGAAAGAGTCAGACACTTAACCAACTGGGCCACCAGACACCTCATACTGTGATTATTTTTTTCACACTCAATACTTCATTTAGTTTAGCTATGGTTTTCAAATGAATTTGCTCACCTGTTGAATTTCCTCTTTCCTTCTCTGACTCAGTTTTATGGCTGATGCATATTCTTTAGTAGTTTCTTCACAAATGCTAGTGAGGAGTAAACTCTTGGTTTTTCAAACTTTTTAAAAAATATTTATTTATTTGAGAGAGAAAGTGAGTGAGAGGAGAGAGAGAGAGAGAGAGAGATCACACACCATCTGGGCGAGGAAGGGGAAGAAGCAGGCTCCCTGCTCAGGATCCCAGGACCCTAAGATCATGACCTGAGCTGAAGGCAGACACGTAACCTACTGAGCCACCCAGGTGCCCCTTTCATACTTGAATATATATTGACTTATCTTCCTTTTGAATGATAATTTATTATATATTGAATTCTATGTTATGAGTTCTTTACCTTAGGTATATAAAAGATATTTTCCTACTACCTTTCAGCATTTATTCTTGCTGATGAGAGCTCTGCTACCAACTGATTGCTACTTTTTTTCTGGTAATCTGTCATTTAAAAAA